AGTCTCAGACCTAATCCAATGCTTGTACAAATTTGGTGGCGTGATGATAGTGCCTCAGTGGTCGGCTTCAAACTATAGGTGAGTGGGTTCGATTTCGGCTGACGACAATTTTTGTCTTATCCACGAACTCCCTTAAGCAACGAATTTACTGCACGTTGCTTCAGACCGGGAATGCTCATTCGGTAGAACGCCGGACTCACGGATTCAGAACCGACTGATTCTGGGTTCAAGCCCCGATCAAGTCGCGCCTTTGTTCTTTCAGAGGTTGATAAATGAGTACCACTTTGCAGGATGAACTTGATAGTCTACATATTATGTCGATTCTGCCTTTAAAAATAAGGCACTCTTAACTGATGACTTGGAAATGGAGATCATCACCCCCCCCGTCCACTATGAACTTGATGAAAATAGAGAGCGCCAGAATGGACCCATCATGTAAGTATAAATAAGAAGCATTCAAACTGTTTAAAATTTCATTTTTAAACCTAAACCTAAGCCACAAACTATTCACGCCTTTTCATGCCTTGTGCGGATTTGCAATCACCGTTATCGCCATCATTATCGTGACAATCATAATCATTCTTAGGAAGGATCAAAAGTCGATTATAAGAATGTTCAAAGAATTCTTGCGATAGACCGTTGTTCGAATCGAATTATTTGTCACCATTTATTTAATCCCTCATAATTGGGCAGGTTACAGAGTATATTAATTAAATACCTTCAGTTTTCTAGTCTTTTTCACAATACTTTCAAGTCCTCTAGTCTTGTTTTCATTTTCAGAAAGGTTATTATTGTAGAAATAATGGTCTTAAAGTTAACTACATAAGAAGTTCAGCGACAAAAATATCTTTACAGCCTAAAAAAGATTTGAGCAACTCCTTGGTTTGTGCGATTCTATGCCAAGACTGCCTTAAGTTCTCTGTAAGGATAACGAAACCCAAAATTAAGATTCATATTAGTGAACCCGTGGCAGCACTATAGAGAATATTGTTATTTTGCGCCCGGGGTTGCATTTAAGCATTAAGCAGTTATGCATTTAAGTAGCTATGTTATCTATTAAACAGCTTAGCGCATAAATTATAGACACTAGTTATGTTACAAAACCTTGAAATTCATAGAGCGGTTGTTTGTGAACAGTCAATTTATTCCCGTATTCGACAGTACTAAAGTCAGCTATGATAACTTCTCTGATAGCTGGCTTATGATCTTATAGCACCTAGAGTAAAACTGTCGCTCGCTTTCTTGTACTATCTATTACGTTTTTTTGATTGTGTTAAGATGGGCGAAAGACTAACTTAAGTTTGTTCGAAATGCTGCCTTGTGTATCATCTTTGAATGTAAACATTCTTTAAAGCCGTGAGAAACTTGATTGTTTTACTAAGCTAACAACGGGCAGGGATATTTTCCTTTCTATAAGATCATCTGCCTTTCAGTTTTCTTGCGGCTCCCACCACTTTAGTCATATTGATATACATGTAATAAAAAATACTATGGAAAGCTTGAAAATGTCATTTTAAGCAGTTTATTATATACAGACAGAAAATAGAAGCCTGATCTGAACATGTTGCGCCAGTTAGACGAGTTAAGTGAAAGTCCTATCGTTCGCCGCTTATATGTAGTCAAAGACTGCATAGATTCGAAGCATCTTATCAAAATCGCTGCTTTAACACCAGCGTTTTCAGCTGCTTAGGTATTAAGTCTGCAAGTTTCTTAAAGTGGCTTACACGCTTGCTATCCGGGACAGATTTGGCCAGTCTCCGAAACAAAAGTTTTTGAGTTAACAAAATTCCATTTTTCTTTCTACTCATGGTGGGTGAAGTTTTGCAAGGCGGGTCTTGCTAGTCGTATTAAGATCTCAGTTCTTTGACGACAAGGTATCGCTAGTTGTGATATGGTCCTGTTCGATTGTGATGTCTCTTTTTACCTTATTCTTTAAAGACTTCCACTAAACGGCATCAGTATGGGCTTTTTTCGTTCCAGCTGTTGCTTTCTCCTTAAAGTGTAAGTTCTTTCCGAACTTCGAGCGAAGTTTCTAACTGTCATTTCCATTTTTATTATCGAAGTTGAATCTCCAGCATTTGTCACAAGACACGTTTGTTCTTTCTTCGGCCAGCGCCTCTGAGCGACTTTCGATCCTCTGTGATTTTCGATAGATTCAAAACCGTCCGTAATTGGTGACAGGTATAGATAACCTCCTTCAGCCGGGGTAAGAGGAAACGAACGTTCCGTCCAAAATGCCTTGCAAGCGTGGACAGTAGCCAAAGTCATTTGCCAAGATGGAATGAAATGAACAGCATAAGCAAAAATTGCTTCCAGTCCTCTGCGTGCAGCTCAAGTCAGACTACGACGGACTACATCGCACTACTGACGAATGACCTTCTGCATTGACGGACTCGTACCTACGTATTTCAGAAGTTAATCTGGAAGACCTTGGCTCAGATGGGACGATGAACTAAAAGAGATATGAAACGTTATGGCGAGAAACCACGTGAGACTAACGAACGTGGTTATCTAGAAAAGACAACGGTGATACCCGTTAATTACGAAAAGAGAATTGTCAATCTGAGCAGCAGCGTAATTGTGATTTTTAATGTTAGTGATGGGCTGCCATACTAACTGGCTGTCCGTCAAAGATACATGTCGTAGCGCCTATCCCTTTAAACTTTTAGGCCTGATGCTTATCACTGTGTTCCCAGCAAAACCGCAGCTCTTGAAAGTTGAAAGTGTTTTGCTAACCAAGAGCACGGAAGACCTTTGCTTTCTGCATGGATATAAGTCAAATATGCACAAATTCAACGGTAAACAGATAAATTTGAAAATAAGACATCGAACTACAGACAAAACACTGAGCAAAGTGCTATAATAGCTGACCTATCGTATAACGGTTACATAACGTTAAAAGGATCCAGATCGTTGCCATTGTTCCGATTTTTGCGAGTGTTCCTGATTCATATGATCGAATCGATTACTGAACTGCCGAGCTGGACATCCAAAATATAACTAGGTGATTAACCCGAAAAAACAAGAGAAGGCGTCGACTTCATATGAAATAAATTGATTACGGGTTGTTCTTTCGGGCTGAGCGTTGGACTTAAAACCGAACGGCTTTTGGTTTGAGCCTCAGTGGGGTCTTCCTTTTCTTCCTTCCAGGTCGATAAACGTGCTTCACTCTGTATGAATGAAGCAGGAGACTGCGCACTATGTTTGCCACATACCGACTGTTTACCCAGACTTTAAACTATGATGCTCCTGGCTGCTGGCTTGGAAATGGAGATCAGCATGCGACCATTCACTTCACGAGAAAAGGCTTGAAGAATGGTCTCATCATGAAATTGTAGGAATGACTGATGCTCTAACGGTTACAGACTTTCTGTAAAGCAAATTGAGCTTAGAATTGATTATCACGTTTTAGGTTTTGAATGTGTATTTGTTTCATGGAGACATGCAGATTTTACGTCACAGTACTGTCTTGAGACTATGTGATGTTTTGTAGCCAATCTCTCACTGTTAAATTGGTGAACCAGCAAATCTATCATATTATCAGTGACTGCTGATTCGTCAGACTCTCAGATCATTTCGCTGCTACCTCACATTTGTGGGTTGTTTCATTATATGTAATATTCTTGTTCGCTTGTTCTTTTATGACTGCGAATAGCGTCAATGCGCCGGTGTTAAGTTTGGCCTTATAAACACTTAAGCGACGATCGTTGCAAGATCGAACACATTTTCGATACGGAAGCTGATGTGCTGCTCTAAATCATCCATTCGCATATTTTAAATCACTTATAAAAGAAAATGGTGGATATCGATTGCATTTTGTTTACCTCATAAGGAAAAACGGCTAAAGCTGCCGCGTAAAGACGGTGTTATATTAGTGAACCTCTAAAAGGAGACAGAAGGAAAGAGACGGACGATGCCCAATCGGTGATATCGAAAACTGCGAAATTAAACACTTTTGCGTATTGACATTTCCAGCAGTATAGAGAGATGCACATGTATGTGAACTGTTGAGCCGTGGCTTATTCTGCTATGTCATTAGGTTTTCGTCCATATGCTGGTGGCCTGACTGCTATTATTGTTTCGTTTTGAGGGTTGTTCTCTTAATCAGACTGCGTTTTAGTTAAGCATCCGTGCTCCGTTAAAAATGGCAACTGTGCGCATATATGTTTGATCTCGTACGACTACGCCAGCCACTCGCCGATTGCTAAGTGCATTTGTAAGGACGGTTTCAAGTTGGGCGACGATGGTCGAAGTTGCTTCGAGGCCCTGCAGTTCCCGTTTCTGCTTTTTGGCGGCACTCATCCCGGCACGATCATGGGCATTCCGGTGGAACCGCCGATGGCCGGCTTCCAGACGCTTCAACCAGTTCGAAACTTGGTCCGTCCGACGGCCATCGGACTTTTGGTCAACAAGAGCGACATCTATTTTTCAGACGCTGCCAATTTTACTATACAAAAAGAAAATCTGTATTCTCACAACCGGCAGATGGTGATCGGTGCAGGTTGTCACGTGATGCCTGACGGCTCGTATTGATTGACCTTTTATAGGCATCAGTAACTGTGAAGGACTGGTCGTGGATTGGATGTCGAACAATCTGTACTGGTCTGACGAAGGGTTGCTGACGATCAAT